AGAGAAGTTTATGAATGCATCTTGATAATGTTCACCTTTTACTCCTCTTATAATTTCCTCTAGATCTATACCTTTTCCCCCCACTTCATGTCCTTTTATGATCTTGCAGTAATTGTATTCATCCTCTGTCCTTAAAATCGTCCAGTCACTTCCTTCATGCTGATTCATGAGCATTAAGTGGAGGAGTTGTGCTGAAAATGTATTAACTGGAGAAATGTATTCTCCACTATCCACTGATCACTGCAGCTTACTCCGTTGTGACTTTCTCTAATTATCATTTCTCTGTAAAGACATGAGCTTCTACAATCAATCTTTATGAAGATGATTAGAAAACAACAATAAATTTGTATTTTACTACCTGATGTTTTCCATGTTAAACCAAAGGAAGAATGTTGTACTTAAAGAACTGAGAGAAACAATGTTTCAGAATTCACAGGGAATTGCCAAAGTTTGCCCTAGGATGTGTAAATCACTGACCAGATCAATCCATGAAACACTAAAAGACCAAAGGCACAGCCACCATCAGAAAGAAAACAGTAAGAATGATACTGAAAAAAAAAGTCTATAATAGAACACCTATTTATGCAATATTAAAAACAAATTTATTATATATGCCCTTTCTGTGAAACATTAAGCAGGATTTTATTTTCTGAAACATATTTCAACGCAGAAGGAGCAAATGAAATGCAAAGGTAGGTGTTGAGCTCCTTGTGTGCTCTGCTGCCAGGGCTCAGGATTCCTGGGGTGTTGGCAGTCTTCTACAGTGTGAACTTCACACCTGCAGATTTTCATGCAGCCTCACGAGATCTGCTACTTAGGTTGTGTAAGACCGTTCTCAAGTATGAGCCTACAAAGAATAAAGTCTCAGTTCGCCCTAAGTTTCCTTAATTTACAGACACAATGCAACGGTGTCATGCATTTCCCTTACTCATTGAATTGCAATGTTACATTCTTTACACTAAAGATTTCCTTGGGACTAGTAAGGTAATACATGTTTTTCAATTTCCTACTTTTACAAGACAACTGAAAAAAGAAGTGTTTCACCACATGATGTTAGAGAATTAAATGTACCAAATACCCAGGTATATTCACTGTCATGCAAGAAAGGTTCTCAATATTTGCTGACTCTTCAACATCCACCCCAGGACTGTGGACATGAGTAACTGTCTATCAGTCTGACTAACAGGACTCCTAAGGGGGAAAGCCACAATTATCCCTGGTTCCAAAGGAATAAGGCACAGCATACTAAGATGTGTGAAAAAGAAGTCAATTAATGAATCATAAAGAAAATGATTATTTTCTTGGAGAGCAACTTTATTTCTCAAAAAAAGTAATGGTTATTCACAAGATTCAAACACAAATCCTTTTTTAATTGAAGGAGTGATAGAAATACAGTTGCAGTATAGCTTGAGGATTAAGAAACAAAACCAAAATTTAGGGGTACTAGCAGGTATCTGAGGCTCCATTCTTACCCATTCATCAAAAGTGAACAAATCATCACTTTTGAATCTGTATTTACTTACCCGTGTGGTCGTCTGAATGAGAATGGACCCCAGGGGACCATATATTTGAATGCTTGGTCCCAAGCTGGGAGAAGAACCTATTACTATTATTCTCCTAAATAGAGATAGTCTGATGATGCCTTTAAATAGGTATTTCTACACCAATAGAATAGCACAGCTCTCAGACCTTACCAGAGAAACATTATTGTGAGGGTATTATGGAAAATAGATATAAAACAGAAGACCAAAGTGCAGAGATGAAGTGTCAGTGGAATGCTGACTGAGGCACAGATGGGACATGTCACAAGCCCTGGAGAACATCTTGGAAGAGGGGGTAGAAAAATGTTAAGAGTCATAGGTTACGAAAGACTGGGGCAAAACAGTGTCTTCTGGATATGACAGGGACACTGTACTCATGGCAGCCGTGGCTACCTGCACAAGATCAATCCAGTCAATAGTCAAGAATAGATGCGGGGGGCACAGAATCTCGCATCACTAGCTAAGGAACTATTCTGTTAACAGTTGATGGCTTTACGGCAGGTAGAATCAACTTTATTTAGAGGTACAGCCTTTGATAGGTTGACTATGCTCCTAATTCACATTTATGTACTTATGCTGGTAACAATTAGACTTTATTGGAAGAAAAGAAGGAAGGAAGGAAGGAAGGAAGGAAGGAAGGAAGGAAGGAAGGAAGGAAGGAAGGAAGGAAAGATATAATGTTAGAATTGGAGGCATGGTGTGGGAAGGTGTTCTGGTCAGAACTGTAGAAGTGGGAAACAAATAACTATCAAACTACATTGCATACATGAAGTTCTCAAAGAATATAATATATTCTTAAAAATGTTTAAGTAAGACTAGCCAGTTTTTGTTTCTAAATATTATTTTATTAAATAACTATTAAATAGGATTTTTACAAAACATGTTACATAGAAAAGTATAAAAATGTTTATAATGCCAGAACTCTATGTCTGCAGCATCTTGAGTCAGCAAGTCTTCACTTTTGGAAGGTTGCCAGGAACGAACAGCGTGGAGGGTCACCAGTTCCACTCCCTTCATATGGCCGGTGATGTCTCATAGGGAAGGCAGATACTGATACTGCAGAGTCAGCATCAGTCAGGGAGCAGCTGCTACACAAAGTTGGCCTCTGATCCAGATCTCCTGTGGATGGCAGTCAGCTCTGGAGTAGACCAGCTCATGGCTCAGGAATAGTTAAGCAGTTGTACAAGATTTTCAAGGCATTTCAAATAGTAGGCATCTAGAGGGTTTTCTTCTGAATTGGAGAGAGCTGATATAGGAAAATAAGAGTTATAAATACCAGTATATTAAACTTAATGCCCCACATAGGGGTGGACACTCCTACATGAAGCTATGAAAAAGATTAGCAAGATATTTATGCTCTTGATAGACTAGAATTATAAAATTATTTTACATTTATAAAATTAATGTTTAACATTTCCATTCATTTCTTATCAATAGCTTATCTAAAGCATATTTAAGAAAGTATCTCCATACATAAATGAGCTATAATCCAGAATAAACACCATACTGTTTCTTACATACTATCCCTCTAAAACCACAAACATTAACATAGCCCAATTCCTCACTTCATCCTGAAATGCAAGATCACAACTAGAAACAAATCAAAGACATTTCTCTTCAGAGACAAACATTAAAAACCAAGAGATCTACTACAGTACAGGAAAGACATACTTTGCTATCTTTAGATAGAAATGTTTGGAGAATAATGCCCATTGAAAACTGGCTCACTTCAAATGACTAATATGCTCTGAAATCATGACTGCAGATCACAGGGAAATGTGGTTACAGGGGCTGTTGAACATATGCCTGGAAGACTTCAGTTTCCTGATGTTAAATCAAAGGTTTTTTTTCAAGGTTAATTCTAATTAGGCCCAATTCTTATCACCCAAGAACACTCTATATGTGGAGTAGCAGCAGCTGGAGAAAAAAAAAAAAAAACTGACTTGGAGAAAGATCAAAGGCGCATTTTAAGAAACTTTTCTATTTCAAATACTCACCTATCAGAACATTTTATTATGTCAAAAAAATCATTACCATGAAAAGCATGGGCTAAATATGAGCCCCTCTGATAGTACTTTATAATAGTTCTCAACATCTATCAAAGCAATGCACAAAACTATCATTTGCAGTGTCCTATTCAAATATTCCAGTAACCAGAAATTTCATTTAGTATTTATCAAATTTAACTGTAATCTCTTAGAACTTACTTCTCTTTGCTATGGAATATGCTTCATCTACTCTTCTTTTTATTGATGGATTTTTCAAAGTTGCTTTTGCCTGGAAAAGAAAAGACAATCTATTAGTTAGCATTATTCCCAAATACTGAGGATAAGGATAATACAGGACTAATTGCCTATTGCTAACTACGGTGTTAAACAGCATAGAGTTAAGATACAGAAATATAGACAGTTAGATACCAGTTCAGCCTATTGTGTCAAGCCCACTGTACTCCATTCATGTCTAAGCTAACCTAGACTCTTTTCCATAGTTTGGGATCTTTCCCTTCATTCCTACTCTTTCTCCCGTAATCTCAGTTTATTATTACTTTTGAGTAATCAACCTTAGGGAAATTCTCATTACTTCAATTATCAAATTTCAGATTAAGTACTTCAAACACTACAAGTTCTCAGTATATAAATATTTACTGAGGGACTTCAAGATGTCCAAACCTGTGCTTAGCCCATGTGAGAAGGAAGCAACCCCTTGGTCCAGGATGAAGAGAAGTCACACGGGCACGAGTGGCTGTCTGTGCGCCCTAACACTGTCATCTGGCTGCTGGGTAACCATTAGATATTCTTGTGTATTTCACTTATGAATGAAATGTTTACAACAAAAGAAGACCAGCTGGCAGAGAAAGAGAGGTTGCAGTACCCTGTTGCTATAATTCTCTCTGGGCAGCACTTGTACTTTGATCTTACAGAGACTGAGATCACTGTAAAATTAAGTGATGGTATATACACGAGAAAGGCAAATTACATGCATGGATAAAACTATTATTAAGTCTTCCATCAAGATGCATTTATCCTGGGCACATCTGTACAAAGACTTTATTTTTTTACTAAAATTACAACAAATTTACAATTTAATTGAAATCAAAAGGGAAATTCACTTAAATAGAACTACCCTTCTGAATCGAGCCCTAGTGAAACAATTAAATGAAAATATTAATTGATAGATTATTAATCGTATGAATGAACAAAGGGAACCTGGGTTTGAAACTTTTTTTTACCATTAGCTGGTATCCACCCGTCTGATACTCTTGAATGCATCCTAAGAGCCCTAATTATTTAACTGCATCAACTCCCCTCCCTCCATTTCAAACAATTATTTTAAAAACTAACCTTCTGATAATTGTAAATTAGAGCCCAAAGTGAAGCTGCTCCAATCCTCTGGGCATTTTGATTCTCACTTTCTAAACAGGTAGCCAGAAGAGTAATGATTTTTTCTACAAATAAGCACATTATAAAAGTTCAGTTCCACATACTTCCCTGTATTCTTAATCTAGAACCAGCCCACAACAATACACAGAGTAATTGTCCTGTTAGAATAAAAATACAAGGTCCTACCCTCAAATGACATCTTTTACAACTTGAGGCATATGAAGGGGTATCTTGGAACAAACTTTTCACAACAGGTACAGATGATCTGGATATCAGTGCTCTCTAAATTTTCTGGTCCAAGTTCAACAAAAGCTTATTCATTGAAGGACAATAATGCAAAACTAAGTGTATTATGAATTATATTAAGTTATTCTGCTATAGCTCCCATTTTCACATGTACAAATATGGATGATCTGTCATAAAAATGGATGATCTGTCATAAAAGCATAATCACCACTATATAAATATTTTATAGCATTAGAAAATTTGATTTGATAGCATTTCAATATACAAAAAATGTTCATTTTTAAAAAGCTACCAGAGAGGAGAATAAAGACTTGTTGATTATGTATGCTAGCCTGATCATTTTAAGTGAAGATTCAGAGGCATTTACTTCAAAGGCAATTGTTAGGAGGTTTCAAACAATATTTAAACTTACTTTTATTATTTTCATATATCATTAAATTTCATATTATGTTTTCTAAGTTGTATAATTTTTAAAACATTCTATTTTTTAAGGTGAAGCACTTGTGTTAGCAAACTATTTACATGTTAACCACCCAGCAGATCTAAAGATTGGCCCCTGAGAACCAGACCCTCAACTAGCCTCAAAAGTAAAAAGAGTGATTAATTTTGGCCCCCTTCATGGTCTTAAACATCCAGTGGAAACGTATAACGAAAGTTAAACCACTGATAATGATATAAACAATGGCTCAGGCTTGACATCTGGGCTACTGACACAGCGGGTGAGGCCATCGCAGAAACTCCAAGTGTAATCAACCTGAAGGACTCACATGCTTTTTTTTTTTTAACATTTCAATTTTTTTTCTTTAAAAGGAGTGAGTTGTGTACAGGGGGGTTAAATGCTTTATAGACAAGAAAAAAAACTGCGCTAGAACCAACTTATTCATCATCATCATCTTCTTCCTCATCTTCATCTTCCTCTTCTTCCTCCTCCTCTTCATCCTCTTCGTCTTCCTCATCATCTTCCTCTTCCTTCTTTTCCTTGCTCTTTTCCACCTTGACCACCCCCTTTTTTGCTGCATCGGGTTTTCCTTTAGCTCTGTAAGCAGCAATATCCTTTTCATACTTCTCCTTCAGCTTGGCAGCCTTCTTTTCGTAGGGCTGCTTGTCATCTGCAGCAGTGTTGTTCCACATCTCTCCCAGTTTCTTTGCAACATCACCAATGGATAAGCCAGGGTGTTCTCCTTTGATTTTGGGGCGATACTCAGAACAGAACAAGAAGAAGGCCGAAGGAGGCCTCTTGGGTGCATTGGGGTCCTTGAACTTCTTTTTGGTCTCCCCTTTGGGGGGGATGTAGGTTTTCATTTCTCTTTCATAACGAGCCTTGTCAACATTGGCCATGTCTTCAAATTTCCCCTTTTCTTTAGCAGACATGGTCTTCCACCTTTCTGAGCACTTCTTGGAGAACTCTGAGAAGTTGACAGAAGCATCAAGGTGATACTTCTTGTGTTCCTCCCGGCAGGTTTGCACAAAGAATGCATACGAGGACATTTTGCCTCTCGGCTTCTTAGGATCTCCTTTGCCCATGTTTAGTTGATTTTCGTCCGCGAGGCACAGAGTCGCCCAGTGCCCGTCCGGCTCTCGCTTGCCCCGGCGCTGTCTCTATGGAGCTCAATGTACTGCCTCACATGCTTTTCTTTACCAGGAAGATCCCACCATTTATATATGTTTGATAACCTTGCTAGTTTCTCCTTTAGAAAATCCACAAAATCAAACTAAGACTACACCAAACACCACCATCCCATTGGCCAACGGTTATAAAACTGGACCTCTGGATCTTCACCATAGAAATGAGTTAAATATATTGCATCCTTAGTGGTGACATTATCAACGACTGGATATTGTGTATGCAACTGCGGTCTTGATTTTATCTACTCTCAGTTAAGCTGACCCACACTCATATGGTTCTACAATACTCTAACTCCATCTACCTGGATCCAATGACTACCCTCAAATGTCTCAAGGTCAACAAGAATGAATACTCTAAACCCATCTATGCTTCCAACAGTAACTGGAAGCAGTTAGATTGTCTTGATGGCCATCTCTTAAATGATTTTAGGGTCATATTTCTTGAAGAGAGAGCATAAGATTGCTAGAACATATCAGCAGGCTTGGAGACTACTGAGGAAAGATTTCTTGCTCAAGCATTTTCTTCCAAATTTTCTGATAGCAGAAACTGGCCCCAGGTCTCCCAGATGAGGATGTTGACCAGTACAAGGACTGCCGCAACCTCTTCTCTATCTGCCTAGAGAAATATGTCAGTAGCCATGGCCACGCCCTTTAAAAAAGTTCTTCCATCTTGGTGACAATTTGCTGAAATCACAGTTAATTAGCATTCCAGAACTAAAGTCTAAATACCCACCAGACCCTGGATAATGGCTAGCCGTAGGAGATGTTTATTGACAACATGATACTGTTTCACTCATTACTCACCATTCTTTGTTTACTAAAAGCAAGGGCACTCTCAGGCCCCAAAAGGAATCTTGTCTACTTCTTTCCCCTCCTCCCCCTTCTCCCTTTACTTACCTCAGCTTGCAAGCTGGTAGGTTTTAATCCTTACAGAGACGCTTCTGCAGCCCTCCCCCCAACACACACCCGCAATAAAAACCTGAACTGTCTTACTGTCTTAAGGGGGTTGTCTCTTTAATGATATGTATTCAAATCACAGTGCCATTATGTTATAGGGGCTCAATAAATACTACCTGGATGAAAATTCAACAACTTAACATTTTGTTTAAATCATGTTGTGACTTGAATAAAAAATGTGGCCCACAGACTCATATTTTTGAGCACTGGGTCCCCAGTTGATGTTACTGCTAGGGAAGGTTGTGGAAATTTTAGGAGGTAGTCTTCAGAACTAGAGGAAATATGTTAATGAAGGTAGGCTGTGAGGCTGTATAGCCCTACTTCCTGTCTCTGCTTCCTATGTGGGGATAAACATGACAATTATATTTCCTGACTGTCAGGAGGGCATCACAGTCCTGTTGCCACACCTTCCCTACCATGATGGATTCTATTCCTCTGCTGTTATTCCTTTCCTACCATGATGGAGTCTAACTATCCCTTCTGCAGCCATGCCTTCACTACCATGATGGAGTCTGTCCCTTCTGCAGCCATGCCTTCACTACCATGATGGAGTCTGTCCCTTCTGCAGCCTTGCCTTCACTACCATGATGGAGTCTATCCTTTCTGCAGCCATGCCTTCTGTACCATGATGGAGTCTAACTATCCCTTCTGCAGCCATGCCTTCTGTACCATGATGGAGTCTATCCCTTCTGCAGCCTTGCCTTCCTTACCACAATGACGCCTATCCCTTCTATTGTTATCCCTTCTCTACTATGACTGAAGGGCTCTTTCCCTTCTGCAGCCATGCCATCCCTACCATTACGGAGTTTATCACTCTGGAACTGTAAGCCAAAACAAGCCCTTCCTTCCCTAACTTGGTTTTTGTCAGTATATTTTATCATAGCAACAGAAAATTAATACAAGTGACTTTATTGCAAGGAGTTCAATTTTTTTATAAGTAAGAAAAAGGACAAAAAAAGTCCCATAAAGTAAAAACTAATTTGTGTGCTAGAATGACAAGGTGGTAGCAAGTGAAATGCAGTCATTTTCTGCCCACACAGCCCTCTCCTGCCTGAATACCTCATGTGCATTACCCAGCTCCCCATGGCTTTCCTATAAAATCGCCTATCCAAAATTAGTCTATATAAATAGCTATGAAATGTAATTTGGCATATGGATTGTGGGTGGCTACATAAAATATGAGTGTAATTTCATTTTGTTCCAACTGAAAATTATCAAGTAATTTTATATTCCAAACATTCAGATTTATGATTTAACAAAGTTTATATCATAACTTCTTTAACAAGTAATTTTAACTTATAATTTTTAATAAGCCACATTTACAGGCTAATTAATGTATTAACCCATTGTTAAAGCAAGTGAATAAAAAAATTTAAAGACAATATTTTATCATGAAATATAACATGGATACAAAAAAAGCACATAAAAATTTAAGTTCAAGAAGTTGGTATGAATTCTAATTAAAATACAAGAACAGATAACAGGAAACAGATACTAGGAAACTGATTATAAACCTAGTTTCAAATACCTTAAGTGACTAAAGATTTACAACTGAATCAACAAGAGTTAGACATAAATACTAAGAATTCAAGAAATGATTTAACCAAGGCTGGCTTAGTGAGAAAGCTGAAAGACACGTCAGTTAAATGAACATATCCTACACGGGACATGAAGCACTTTCAGCATACTACTATCAGGTTAAAATTTACTGGGCAGAGTTTAGAATATAATTCCATTCATCAACTCATGACTGAATGACAATTACAAATTAACTGTGGATATAAAAGCTTAAGAAATGAAATCAATGGGAGTATTTTGTGATCATCAATTAGTCACAGACTGGATAAATGATTCATGCCTCATTCAGTGCATATCAGAGAAGCTTCTTCTTGATGTGGCTGTGGGGTTACTCTATATTGCTTTATTATATTGGGATATGTTGCTGGCAAGAACCTGTTGCTAGATAGGTCATACCTAGGAGAGAACCTACCACTATTATTCTGCTAAATCAGTGGTTCGCAACCTTCCTAATGCCATGACCTTTTAATAAATTCTTCATGTTGTGGTGACCCCCAAGCATAAAATTATTTCAGTGCTACATCATAACTAATTTCGCTACTGTATGAATTGTAAATATCTGATATAGAGAATATCTGAGATGTGACCCCTAAAGGGGGTCACATCTACAGGTTGAAAACCACTGTGCTCAATGAATATAGTATTAAATCAACTTCTAACAAGTTCTCATTGCATCATATAGTAATGGATTTCTCAACCCTTATCAGAGAAGTTTCCATTGCAGTAGATGATGATAAACAGACAACCAATAAGCATCAAGATACAGAAAATAAGACTGTGGAATACTCAGTCCTAAATAGAACATCTTTACTATATCACATTTCCCAAGGCTCAAGGATCATTGAGGAAAAAGGGGTGAAAAGTTCATGAAAGTTAGAGGTGATAAATGACTGACTATAAGGAAACCATTTTCCAGACACACCAGGGAACATGGTCATATAAACTCATAACAGTTGCCACAGCATGTAAAAGATAAGCACAAACCAGACTGCACCCTAGCCTGGACAGAGATGGGCATAGAGTTCTACCCTAGTCAAGAAGCTCCCGCCACTGAAGCTGCTCTGAGAGAGTGCAGTTCCTGGTGGGTGGTGTGTAAACGCATCATCCTAAATGGAGCAAAACTCAAAACATTCCCACTATAATCCCACTGAACAAGGCAGGAATTTCCACTCTATTCCATCATGTTCAACATACCACTGAAAGTCTTAACTATAACTATAAGGCACGTCAAGGAGATAGAGAGGAGACAAATAGCAAAGGAACCACACTCTAGTGAAGACCATACATCTGAGACCATATGAACAGCACAGACAAGATTTGAGGGCTTAAGAGGGGTTGGCAAACGTGTGGGGAGGACAGGAGAGGTGATCTGGGAGGAGTATGAGTGGGAAAGTATGATCAAAATATATCGTATAAAATTCCCAAAAAACAAAATAGAAAAAGAAATAAAGCAGAAAAACATAGGGTTGCGCCACAGAAACTACAGATGAAATTCAGTATATATATACTATATAGTTTGTAGTTTCTCTGTTAATGATGGCTATTTTTGGTTGTCAATTCAAGACGTGGGAAGAAGGAACCTCAATTGAGGAACTGCCTCTGTCAGATTAGCCAGTGGTCTTTCATGGGGGGTGGGAGGTAAGGGTGAGAAGGGGAAAGGCACTTTTCTTAATTACTAATTGATGGAGGTTGGCCTACCCCACTGCAGACAGAGCTACTCTGGGCACACGGCACGGGTTGTATGAGAAAGCTAGCTGAGCAGAAGTAGGGAGCAAGCAGGTAAGTAGAATTCCTCTGTGGCTTTGCTGCAAGTTCATGCCTAGTATCCCTGCCTTAGCTTTTCTCTCTTGTTTTTAAATTATAACTTTTATTGATTCTTTTCGGATTTCACATCATGCATTCCGATCCAACTTATCGCCTCATCTCCTTGCATCTGCCTTCTGCACTTGCACCTGCCCTCCACCCAAATCAAAACCAAATTTAAGAAAAATCAAAATCCAAACAAAACCAAGAGACAAACCAAGACCAGAATCACAACCAACAAACAGAAAGAAAGAAAGAAAGAAAGAAAGAAAGGAAGGAAGGAAGGAAGGAAGGAAGGAAGGAAGGAAGGAAGGAAGGAAGGAAGGAAGGAAAAAAAGAAGGAAGGAGAGAGAAAGAAAATGGAAAATGTAGCCATGGAAGCTAGTGTGGCCTGCTGAGTCACACAGTAGGCCCTTTAGGCCATACATCTTATCTTGGCCTGCTGAGTCACACAGTAGGCCCTTTAGGCCATACATCTTATCTTGCAAATGTTCACTGCCACAAGGCATTGGTCTGACTCACTGCTCTCTGCGACACTACCATGTAGCCTTGGCTTTTCTTCATGGCTACAAGATTGAAATAGACCCTTTCTTCCCCTGCTCAAAAAAGAAATAAGCATTACTCCTATTTACCC